AAATGCTTCAGTGGTGAAGTCTGTCAGACATTTAAGGAAGAAATAGTACTAATATTACACAAACATCTTTTGGAAAATAGAGGAGAAGGGAGCACTTAACTCGTTTTATAAAGCTAGCTTAACTCTGATAATAAAACCAAAGACATTTTAATAAAGAATACTATAGGCCATTGTCCTCATGAGCACTGACAAAATCCTTAATAAAATATTGGCAAATAGAAAACAGCAGTTTATAAAAAGAGAAATAAAACTGATCAACTGGTGTTTATCTAAGGTATGCAAGGCTGATTTAGCATTTGAAAATCAGTGTTATTACCATGCCAGTAGATTTTTAAAAACCTATAAGATTATCTCAGTAGATACAGGAAAAACATTTGACAATACTAAATATCCATTCCTGATTAAAAACTCTGAGCAAAGTAGGAATAGAAGGGAATTTCTTCAATCTGATAATCAAAGGCATCTACAAAAATCCTACAGTTAATGTGATACTTAAAGTAGCATCACCAAAAATACAAATATAAACAAAACTCTAATAAATTGTCCTTTAGAGAAAATGTAGAAAACAGAAGGAACATGTTAAACAATTGCATGGGGATGCAGTCAGCAAAATCCAAGTAGCAGGAAACTGTAAAATAGTTTTAGCTTTTTTAAACTTTAAGAGAAATAAAACATTGAGAGAGATAGAAGCAAAACCTGTAGATTAAGAGACTTAAGAGTCATATCAACCAGCTGCAATATGAGGACCTCGTTGGGCTCTTAATACAGACAAATGAAATGTACAAAAGCAAAACAAACAACAAAACTCTCAACAATGTTTGATATTTATGACAGTATGAAATCCAAACACTGATTGGCTATTTGATATTGAGGCCTGATTGTTAATTTTTAAGGTATATTAATGGATTCTGGTTATCTCAAAAAAGAATTTGTTTTTAAAAATGTAAACTGAATTTCTGTAAATGAAGTATTCAAAATCTGGGATTCACTTTAAAATTATACTGTGTTCTAGGAATATAGACGGAACAAGATTGGTGACGAGCTGATCCTTGGTGTAGCTGGTTGATGGATGCAGTCGGGGATCAGTTCTGTTATTCTTCACCTTTCGTATACATTGACAGACTCTCACAGTGAAAATTTTGAAAAATTATTATAGCTATCAGTTATTGACTACATATATTTTGGGAGATTTATAAATATTAACACATTAAGCTTTAGGAAAACTGTAAGATTTTTTAAAGATGGGAAAACTAAATGTCAGAGGTTTGAAATTTGGCAACATACAAATATATTTAAGTGCCAAAGCCAAAATTTGCAACCCAGTTTCTCTTTTATTTTCTGAACTATGATGATTCCTATATACTATGTTGCTTTGTCTTCCTATTTCCTCTTTTATTTTATGTTGATATTTATTTCAGAGAACTTGCACCATTTTCAGTCAGCCCCATTCTTAACAAGGGGCAGGATGTGGTAGTTTCCTTTTAGATATAGAAGGTGGCATGTTTCTTCCTTTTCCACATTATTCTGAAAAATAAAAAGGCTATATATGTAAGCAGGGAATTACTTCTTAAACTTTGTTTTTTCTGTCACTTCTATTGTTAAACTGGCAATTGATTAGCATTTTTTCCCCACTCACCTAATGGAATGAAAACGATGTTGACCTAAAATGTTGTCTTTATACTTGACATTCTTTAAAACTTCTAATGCATGCACTTTTAACCTTTCATATATATATATATATATATATATTTTTTTTTTTTTTTTTTTACAGGCTCTGGTTGGAGAGAAGGCTTGTTACCAATCCATTAGTAGCTATGGTGGTCAGATCTTTTATTTGGGAACAAAAGTAAGCTCTTTCACTCTGTGACTTTGGTGTTTTGTGTATCTGGATAGTTGGGGCTGAGGAGGTTGCCGGTAAAGAGGGTGCATTGCAGAGTGAATATTGATCAGCAGTGATCCAAAACATTTTGTGTTAAAGTAGTTACGATTTTTAGTTAATTTATTTCATTTACTCTTAGATGTATTTTTACTTTCATTTAGGTGTTAATAGGTAATAGAATGCATATTTTCCTGATTTGGGGATGTACTTTCATAAGCTTCTTTCATATTTATATTTTCAGAATCAGGAAGATACCTAATTATGGATATCTGTCATGTAATTAAGATGGCCTTTAGTTTAAATTGGCTTATAAAATACACTAAAATGCATTGGGGCCTTTGACGTAGAATCATTGGTATAGGAACTTTTTGTATATCAAAATTGTTCCTCGGATTTTTTTTAAAAAACCTAAATATGGAGAAACATTTTTTCATTATTAAAATTCAATCAAAATATTGCCAAGTAAGTACAGGAAAAGGAGCTTGGCCTTTGTTTTTCTTTTTTTTGTTCCTCATCCACGGTATTGACTCCTTCTTGAACTATAGACTTAATGACCTTTAAGTGTTTGTTTGATTTACCCCTATAGGTAGGGGTATATCTCGGAATTTACTAAAGGACCTTTCTTAAAGGACCCTTTAGTAAATTCTAAAGGACCTTTCTTCAAGGACCCTTTAGTAAATTCTAAGATATACCCCTAACTACAGTATGAAATGTTTTTACTTAGAGATATGTAAAATGAGATTTAGAGCTGGAACAACTGTGTTTCCCAAAAAAGTCTGTTAAAGATTATCAGTTTAATTTCTTTCTCTTTATTTTCTAGTCTGTTTATGTGATGATGCTGAGGAACTGGAGAGAGGTGAGTTCAAAGTAATTTTATTTGTTAGAACTACCAAATTGATAGTGTCTTAACATTTCTGTTTTGACTTTGCTAAAGAAGATTATTTGGATTTGTGCTTCTTAATTTTAGTAGTATAAATCAAAACCATTATAACTGTTAGGTACTTGATTTGCTAAAACTGACTGTATATGTTAGAATTAGGTTTGGTGATGTATACTTGAAAATTCAAAATAATAGTGGCTTATGCCAGATTTCTTTCTCTCCTGTAAAAACAATCTAGAAGTAGATGGTCCATGGCTAGTATGGGAGCTCCATGAGCTTCTAAGTATACTGTCCCATTCCATCACTTTTATGTTTGAATTATAGTTTCAAGGTCATTTTATAGTCCATTATGGTTGCTAGGGCTCTAGTTGTTAAGTCCATGTTCCAGGAAGGAGAAAAGAAAAATAAGGGCCGGTCCTTACATTGTAAGGTGACATCCCAGAAATACCACACAGTGCTTCCATTTATCATTCGGCAGAGCTTAGTCACATTGCCCCAAGTGGCTACAAGGGAGTCTTAGAAATGTCCTTCAGCTGGTGTATTGCTGTATTAAACAAACTTTGTGTTTGTTATCAAGGAGGGACTGATGTTGTCATTTCTGCTAGTAACATGCCAGCTTTTCCCCCTTTTCATATTAGGCTCTATAGGTTTCTATCCTACCCTATAAAGTGTTTGTACTATCCTTTAAGATAGGATTTTTCTTGGAAATAAGATATTCATATAGTTACTGAAATAATTTGAGCTATTAAGAGCAATTTCTGGAAAGATGTTAGATAGAATAGGAATTCTGATTGGTGATTGATCAGACATGGGGGCCCCGTGTCTCTCATTTATTTGTTTCAGAGAGTGGATCATCTCCTGAAACAAGATTGTCTTACAGAAGCCTTGGCTCTTGCATGGTCTTTCCATGAAGGAAAAGCAAAAGCAGTAGTGGGTGAGTAGACAGATTACCAGTGTGGCAGACATTGTTTTTTGGAGTAGAGAATGAATAATACTAATCACTCATAGAACACTTTTAACTGCATGTTTAAGTACTTTATAAACAACATGTTAATAAACCTAACACACTTTACTTTTAGTAAAGAAGGTTGATGACAAATATAGGCTATTAAAATTAAAATGTTACTTTTAAAATTATTTTTTTCTTTT